CCAGTGGGTGGCAGCAGGCGCTCACAAACTCTCCGAGACAGGTGGGCTTGGCTTTGCCCTTCCCGCAGAGGGTGGGAAATAGAATCCTTAATATTTCTAGCTTTATTTTCTAACTTCTTAAAGCCTTGAGGTGTTTTGTAGAAAAAATGGGGCCTGAGTTACAGTAAGCGAGGGCCAGAAACTGAGCACTTTTAGACATAAATGTCTAGACCAGTGGTGGGAACCCACTAGGTGCCCAGCTATTTCCAAAGTTCTAAGAAAGCCTTCTCTCCACATGCCGTCTGGGTTGCCCAGCCAGTGCTGTCAGCCTCTAGCTTGAAGTTTGACCCTTATGTGAGTTTTGGTCATCTGGGGATAATTGACATTGTAGGTTCAGACAGAGTGAGAGGAGAGTAGATTATCTTATGAGGAAGGAGAGGGAGGAAAGGCCATGCCACTCTGGAACTGGCACATTTGAGGGTAAAGGAGGTAGCTGGGCCCGCAGGAGTACGGTCCACTCAGTCTCAGGATGACCTCTTCTGGCTTTCTGTAGAAGTCCTGCCCAAACCACTACTTCTAACATCCCTAGTCAGTAAGTCCTCACTGTGAATCGCAATACACACCTGTGTGCGGTATTTGGAAATTTATAAATGCAGTGCTTATATTTGTTCAGGCCTAACTAAGCTCAGAGCTTATAATCAAACAACAGGACATAGTCAATATTTAAAATCCAGAATATTCAGGATGGTCCATGATTCTCATATGGGATGGGGGTCAGATTACAAGACAACTGGCTTTGAAAGGTAGTACCTGACATTGATGCTGCCAGCCACACATCGTGAGCAGACAGTCAGAAGAGGAAGAAGCCATGTTAGCTGCAGTAATAGTACAAGAGCATAGATGTTTGCTGCAACATGCTAACAGCACTTCCTATTTCCATAGCATTTCAGAGTTTCCAAAACATTTTCAATGTAGCTGATTTCATTCTCTTCCCAGTGACCTGTAGGCCAGATATTATGGAGTGAGGTAAAATACATTAAACATTTAGAATACTGTTGAGTGCTCAGCAAATGTTCAGTAGTTTTTAAATTAAAGTTATCATTAGCTTTCCTCCTTTTGGAGACAACGGCCCACTAAGTTGCGAAGGCTGGATTTGTGCCACCAAACTCCTGGATTTGTGCCATCCCCCCTCCCCGCCCCCAGGAGATGGGACTATAGATGTGCACCACCGTGCATGGCCTTAAGCCTGTTTCATACATTTGGAAGCTGGGGCTCAGAGGCAGTTACTTGCCCAAAGTCTCACGACTGACAAGTGGTGCAAGAGGGCCAGAATTCAGTTCTTTGGCTGCTATTTCTATAACTTTTTCTCATTATCTTACAGATGACAGGGACCACTTAAGCTGGCCTTGCCTGGGCTGAACCACGTTTTCAGATGGTGTCAGCACAGAAGTCTCTGAAATCGTGCTCATAAGTCTCACAAGCCCTAGTTGGGAAGTGGGTGGAAAATGATGAAGGTATCCTCTTCCTTGGTTCACAAGAGTTAAATCTAAAGTCTCTACTCATTTTAGCAATAAGGGGAGATGGTTCATTACCTGGTCCATCAAGGAAGCTGCGGGCCATTAAATTCACATAGGTCTCAGCTGCTAGGCTTGTTAAGAAAATGTTACAATAGAGGGAAATTGACAACACAGGCACCACAGATATTTTTAGTCTGTACTTCAAGGATGTACATCTTGGATTCTGTTTAGGATTGAGCATGGGGGATGCTTTTGGATTTATTTTACAACACTACGAACCAGAAAGTCCCTACGGACCCTCTCCTCTGTTCCCATCTTATCCATGGGGCCGTGTAGGAAAACTGACAGCGGCAAGATACACTCCCCTAATTTTCACACCCGGATAAGAGTGGTGTAATCTTTTTCTTGAGTGGGTAATTTGATAATTCAGCTAAAAGTTGTAGCTGCGTCTGTTCCTTATACCAGTGACTCTACAATAAGTTGTTTTTCCTTTGGATATATTTTAAAATGTAAGCCACTGTGACACTGTTTATAACCGAAACAAGAAACAAGAATCTGGAAAACTAAATGCTGCCCAGTAAATACTGGCTAATTACTGGATGTCCTTCAAAGGGGATTTCATGCAGCTAATAAAAAGAAAGAGGTCCATTGGTATTCTCTGAAAGCAAATCACTAAGACATATTTTAAGTGCAAAAAAAATTAAGGTTCCAAAAAAGAGTTCTTGTAGCATGCTGCCATATGCTTGTGTTTGAAGTAGATATGCGTGCAGTCACATCCACATGTTTTCCCCTGCTGGTAAGATATGCTTGCAACTGATGATGGGAAGTATGTGTGATAAGAAAGTACTACCAAAAGAGAACATTTCATTTTTATTTTATTCTTTTATGTACTTTTAAAGACCAATTGATTGAATGATTGATTTAACGGTATGATGTACTTTTTTTTTTTTAAATACAAGCCTCTTGTCTAAGGTTGCACAGCCAGGAAAGAGTACAGTTAGGATTCACAGCCTAGATTGAGATGCCAGAACCCATCTCGGAATCCTAGCATACTGCCTCCTACCAGTGTTTTCTTAGTAGGATGAAGTACTTCTGTCATTTGCTAGCAAGTTATAAAATTTTCACGAAAATACCTGGATTAAAAATGCCCAAGGGCCAGGAGCTTTGAGAATGTGCTCATTCTCCAGAAGAGGGCTCTGTGCCCCATCTAGCTGCCATCTTCACTCCTTCACACTATGACTGTGGCTTGGCCAAGAGAGGTCAGTGACCCTGAGGCAGGAAACACAAACTAAGATTTCCAACAGACGAATTAACTTAAGGAAAAAGCATTAGGATAGCTAGAGAGGTGGGGGTAGAGGGAAGGCATGAAAACAGTTTCATTAGCCAACTTGGTCAATGGACAGGTGCGGGAAGTGGCAGATAAACCCAGCCAGAATCTATAAATATACTTCAGTATCAGTGTTCAAAATCCACTAAATAAATGAGTGAGTTAGAAAAGTTGGCAGCATTCAAGCATCTAGATGTAAACCTTTAGTTCTGGGCTTACTTCCTATGGACACTTCTGTGATTTGGGTATATTATTCACCTAGAACAGGCTTCAGTTTCCCCACCAGTCAAATGGACAGACCATTGCTCTTGGCTCCTTCACAGAATTGTAAGACTTAAGTAAATCAAGGAGCATGCTTTGAAAATACAAAGCTTTGTGCAGAATGTGTGGTTATTGTTAATGTCACTGCAGTTTATCTCACAGAAGAAAGTTGTTTTGAGACAGAATGATAAGAGGAAGTATCAGAAAAGTATTTCTGATAGCAACATAGATATACCTCGACCAATAAAAGAAAGCGACCTCATGGGTCCTTTACTCCAGTTCTCCCTTTTCATAGTCATGGACAAAGACCTACAGAGTCCAAGATGTGCAGAGCAGTGATAGTGCCACGTATAGATGGGATAGTAGCCAAAGAGGTGGCATATGCTACAGGCCCCCTGCCGGAGGGGCTTACTGAGCTCTGAATGTTGACCAGAGTCCTGGAAGCAAGTTGATGTGAAGCTTAGTAAGGAATTGGGGCAGAAGTAGGGGGATGGACTTCGGTGATCCAGCTCCAGGATGGCTGAGAGCCTCAGAGGAGCAATTTCAGAGTGCCCAGGGACTTGGATAGGATAAATGACAACTTCCTAGAACGGGCTGTTCCAGAATCCATAGAGAAAAGGAAATAGCCTGGCCTCGTCCCGGATGCGTTGACAGGAACCAGGGTAGGAAGTATTTGTAGTGGGACGATTAGTGCTCGTAACATCATCAAGTTCCTTTTGACTCAAAGAAGGAAAATAGAAAAAAACTTCAGTGCAGCACACATGGCAAGTCAGTTTTCATAGTATGGGAAAGAGAATGGAAAGGATAAATCAATAGAGGGAGATAATGCCATGTGGAGGGTGTTGGACTCAGAGTCTGAGAGCTTGGTGTGAACACTGGCTCTGTCACTGACTTGCTTAATGGCCTTCCCATGCCATTTTCCTCCTCTAAGTCTTGGCTTCCTTATTTCTAAAATGAAGATCCATCTCCCTGTCTTCTAAACTGTCATGACAATTAAATGCCCTTTAAAGCAACTAGTGTATAATTTCTAGACCTGATGCCCAGTAAGTATTGGTCTACTCATTTATTTTGGAAAGAGATCCCCAGAAAACCTCCAAGACAATATGCCAGTTGGAAGTTGCAAGTGCTGGAAAGGCCTAGCTGACAGGGGCAGTATAGAAAGGCCCTTTTTACGAGTGGCAAACCAGACTAAATGTCTAGAGTTGATATTGTATGTGAGTGGGGGGAGTGTGCTGAAGGCAAAGTAAGAATGAGTTTAATATAGACATAGATGTAGACTGCTTACAAGGGATTGTGATGCCATTAGTGTGTTAATGTATGGTTCCTCTAGGTCCATGACAAATTGTGAGGATACTGTGTACTGTATCACTCAGCTTGACTCATTTTTGTGACTGCTCATAAACACAGGATGGGTTTTATGTTCAATGGTAGTGGCTTTCTTCAGTTTCCTCTTCTCTTTGTATTGGTATGAAGTGGTAAAATGTTAATAGCAATTTTTTAAAAAAACTAAAAATCCAAGGGTGGAAAACAGCTGGGAAATCAGAGTGAAACATAAGAGTCAGAAAATAAGGAAATCACAGGGATGTAGAAGATTGACCTAGTCTTGCCTAGAATAACATTGAAGTTCCCAGTTCTAGAATTTTTTGGTAGCCAGACACCAGAAGTCCTATCCTAAAATCACAAAGGCAGAGCGAGAAAGGACATTTTATATTATTTTGCAGGTAGATAAATTGGAGCTAGAAGAGAGGATGAGGCTTGCTTGGTATCTTAGGGTGTGGGTGTGGTGGTCGCAGAGTGAGTGTGAGAACCGTCTCCTGGCTCTCATGCTGGGGTTCAGTCTGCTGTCGTCCTCTTCTTTGTCTCACTCCAAACACTCGTACAAAATTAATTTGTGTGGGTTTTTTCCCTTTCTTCAGGGCCAGGTGCTTTCGGGGCAAAAAAGTCCTTGGAGATTATGATATCAAAGTGGAACAGGTAAGCAGCCTGGAGCCTCGAGTTGCATCTGCGTCATCGCCACTCCCTCTGGCACCCTGGAGTGAACCATCTAGTTCTGCTGCATGGAGTGCAGTGTCCTCCTGCTTCTGGGCTCTTCATTGCTTCCCTCCCACCCTTTCCCTAGGGCTTTTCTCGATGCCAGGCATGGTCCTGGAGGCTGAAGCTTTTTTTTTCTTCCTTGATGTCCTTTCACAGTTGTTGTGTTGGTACAGAGGCGAGCAGTATGGCTCTTAGAGCTCTTACAGTGCAGGGTTCCCAGCTGAGGAAGACCATAAGGAGTGGCTGCCTAGGACAAGGCCTCACTGCCACATCTGGCAGGTGTGTCTGGAGCTGCCTGTCGCGGGGCCTGAAGCTGCACTCCAAAGGGAGCTTAGCAAGCACACCCTGTGTGTATCCTCTTTACCTTCCTCTGTCCCTTGCTTTATGATAAATAGATTAGGTCCATTTGGGGAGTTAAAATTATATATATATATATATATTTTTTTTTTTTTTTCTCCTTAGCAGAAGTTACTCCTCATTCACTGCACAGTGTGTTATGATTTACAAATAGTTTCCTATTCATTATTATATTCTGTTCTTTTTGTTTAATTTTTCTTTTTGTGAGACAGGGTCTCACTATGTAGTTCATGTTGGCTTGGAACTCTCTGTGTGGATCAAACTTAATGGAGATCCTCCTGCCTCACCCTGAGTGCTGGGATTATAAGAATTCTCCACCAAGCACGGCTTTTACATTCAGTTCTTCAAACAACATGTTAGAGTTGATCAAATGTTTTCCATTATTTATAGTGAGGAAACTAAAACCTGAGCAGGCCAAGTAATTTGGTTGACGTGTTATGCAGCTACTTGGGAGCAGAGCAGAACTAAAGCCCAGTTACCTAAGCTAAGCCTAGTGCTTTTATATTAAAATTGAGAAAGAGGACATTCATCCTGGTTCACATCCTCACACTAGAGAGGCAGCACAAAGGATGCTAGGCTGGGAGTCAGAAGACCTGAGTTTTATTCTGTCGATGGTAAGTTTTGTTTGTCCAGAAAAGTCACTTAACTGCCCTGAGGCACAGTTTCCTCCTTTGGTAAATGGGGATAATCAGCTGGGTGTGGTGCTACATGCCTGTGATCCCAGTACTTGGGAGGCTGAGGCAGGATTGCCATTGTGTTTGAGGCCAGCCTGGGCTATATACATAGTGAGTTCGAGGCCAGGCCGAACTATGTAGCAAGACCTTGTCTCAAAAAACAAACAAATGTGGGGATAATCATCTCTGTCCCACCTGCCTCATAGGGTTACTATGAGAATTAGATGACACCAGTATGTGAAAAAGATTAAAACGGTAAGTGTTTATCAGTGGGGCTGCTGCTGCTATAGGGGACACTTGGCAAAGTCAAGACTGTGGACTTACTCCCTGTTACCTTCCAGGCAGAATTTTCCGAGCTCAACCTGGTGGCCCGTGCAGATGGGACCTATGCTGTGGACATGCAGGTGCTTCGGAACAGCACAAAGGTTGTCCGGTAAGGGCCCTTCTGTCCTTGGGGGTCACTGTCACGTTCTCCACTTCTAGCCTGAAAAGCTGGTTTTAAAGTCAAGTGTCCCCAGGAGATAACAGTGCTATGAGTATGGTGTTCAGAACTTAATGGTGTATGTTGCGTGGAAGTGGAAGGGAAGGCAGCTCTCCTGCCTTTGAAGAGCTCTCAGTCCAGTAAGTTGCAAGGATTCAGAGCTCACTTAGAAGTAACTGGAGTCCTGGACTCCTGCCTCACTCCCTCTCAGTCAGTGTGGGTCTGTATTTTTCTCTCTCCATACATTTCCCCTGGAAGACAAGGTTCCATTTCTTTTAAGTTTGAAAACATTTGATCTAGTCCAACCTTTTCATTTTACAGTGATGTTTAGATTTCCTTGGGACTTGGTGACAGAACCCTGTGTTCTATGTGAGTTCTTTTGACTCTCAGCACAGTATTCTTCCTATAGTCTTCATTTCTAGAAACTCCTAAGTCTGATAGGAAAACCTAGGGTTAGAATAGGCTTTCTGGATAGAAAAGAACTAGCAGTTATTGAGTACTTCCATGCCAGGTGGTATGCTGGGTGCCTTATACATGGGATATTGTCATCCACACAAGAGTTTCTTGAAGAATATAATGAGAATTCCAGATGGGGGAAATGGTCTGCACAGTGTTGTTCTCAGGAGCTCAGTCTTGTTCCAGGAGGTGGCTCTACTTCACTCTCTTCTCCACTTCAGTCTGTAGTACCCTGACCCTAAAGATTTCAGTGTCCAGGAGGTCAGGGACAGGAAAGGCCAGGGGATGTCTGGGACCTACCATCAGGAAATGTGAGCTTATCTGTTCTGAAGACTAAAGAAGACCAAAGAGAGAGGGGGAAAGAGAGAGAGACAGACAGACAGACCCTCCCAGGTGAGAAGTGAGCTCAACTAGAACCTTACAACAGAGGCTGGACAGGTTCCTCCAGCTGTGTCTTGGAGACACACACACACATAGCAGGTGGTGACAGAGAAGCTTAATAGGGTGCCTGGAGGGATCTGGCAAAAGTTAGGCAGCACTTACAGGTGCCCAGTGCAGAAACTTGGGGGCTGGCTGAAAGTCTAGAGCTCCATTCCTATATTGGGATATGAGGCTGGAATTTGTTCTCAGGCATACAGCTAGAGGTTTCCAGCATCCAACAAGACCTGGGCAGTAACAAAAAAGGCCTAGGGAAACGGTTGGAGCAGCCCAAGTTCTGGAGCAACTAAGGAGAGCTCCTTCAACCCCCACTATATAAAAAGCCTTGTCTCCACTTCACATTCTGTGCATGTATGGAAACTCACAGTAAAACCCATGATTTTGTACAATTAAGTATGTGCCCATTATTATAATTTAAAAAATTTGATCCCTGGGCCTTTGTGGGGCTGGGGTCTGTAGGTGGGGATTGGATGGGTTCTCCAGGCAGAGAACCGTGTAGGTCACTGTGCTGAGTCTTGGAGCCTAGGGGTAGATGATGCCCTAAACTGCCTCTCCGGGAAGGCCTCCGAAGCTAAGATGGCCCTGGCCCTGTAGAGCAGCTGTAGCTAGGAGCTTTGGTGACTGGATGTGAAACAGGGAAGCTTTCCTGTGCATGGGAACATTCTGTACGTGCAGTGTTTCCTGCAGCCATTGCTCAACCTCAGTTCTGCGAAAAATATTTGCACCCCTCCCTAGTGTCCGCTTTGGAAGAATAACGTTGGGAAATCTGGCATGTGCTCTCAGCCAAGCCTGTCCCCATGCTCTCTAGGGGCCTGATGAAAGCATTGCCTATTTTAAGGAGCAGCTTTAAGGAGCTGGGGCAGGACACAGATCAGAGACCTCATGGCAGTGTGGTGTAGGGAACCTCACATGCTGCCTTTAAAGCTCCTAGGGCTGCTTTGAGCACCAACTCTGGAGCCACACAGAGCTCCAGACTTCCATGCTGCCCCATGAGGACAGGGGACATCTTTTTACTTAGGTGTGAGAGTCTAAAAGTGTTTCTTCCCACCTGAGAATATTGTACTTAGAAAAGGGTAAGGCTTGGCACAAAAGACTAGGAGAATTTCAGAAATCTGCTCCTCAAATTTTCTTTGGAAAGTACCATAATGTTTGATATCCTGGTCCAGAAAGGACAATAATAATAAAGTGAGGGTCATGACTAGGTGGTCCCTGATGTCTCCTCTCTGTCATGGGCTTTGGGAATGGGAGACAAAGTAGTGGATAACCTGAGCTGTGATTGATGGAAACCCTGCCTCTGCATTCTTACCAGGTCTTTCCGCCCAGATTTTGTGCTGGTCCGGCAGCATGCCTTTGGCATGGCAGAGAACGAGGACTTCCGCCACCTGATCATTGGCATGCAGTATGCAGGCCTCCCAAGTATCAACTCCCTGGAATCCATTTACAACTTCTGTGACAAGCCCTGGGTGGTGAGTGAGGCCCCTTCCCCCAGGAAACAGTAGGCCCCAGGCCCTGCATTCCCAGCCCCCCAGCAGGGACGACTGCTACTCGACTGGTAGGCACCAGCTGAGAGGTTGTGAGGGAAGCCTTGGCCTGTCACAGTAGCATGTCATCATGTCACCACATGTCTGAGGCTGGCACCTTTGCTGCAGAGTAGGCCTTTGGCTTCTCAACAAAGTTACACAAAGATTCTATGAAGAACTCCTTACAGGTCTGCAGGCTCTGCCCTTGACCATTGGATGTCGTGATAAAAGTGCTCGATTCTTGCCTCCTGGATGGATGGTTTAATTCCTGGAAAGGCCTTTGGCCAGTGGGGACCGAGAGGACAGTCCAATTGTGAGGGGTGTTAGTGATAGAGTTCCATCAAGTTGTTGAATACCAAGTGAAGTTTATTCACCTATGGTACATATGAATCAGACACTTACATGAGCTGGAAGATCATTCATCTCACCTTGTCATGGAGAGGGGTGAAAATTAAAGAGATAGGTAAGGAGTATAACAGCACTTACTGTACGGTGTACACTGAGAGTTCCCACATTCCTATTGCATCCTCATGATAACCTTATATGGAAGGTGTTATTATTTTCATTTTTTACATAGAAACAAAATTCAAAAAGGACTAAATAACTTGCCAAAATTATAGAGCCAAGTCTCTCTAGCCCACACTACCTGTCATGTCGTCTGCGTTACAGTGTGAGGAAAAGCTGTTTGGTTTCCTCTTCCTCAGCCAGTCTGGTAATCTGGGAGGACAGCGGGAACTTCTAGACACAGGAAGGAATGAAGGAGTGCAGAGGGGAAGAAGAGTGATATGTGATGGCCACTGGGGGCCTCTGACCTCCTCTTGGGCCCCTGAAGGGACCCAGTTCGCTGCTGGCCCTGCTGCTCCAGCCTGGCCCTCTCGGAAGGAAATGCCTGTCCCTAATCACACCTCTTCATCTTGATCTTCAAAAACCAGATTTCAGCTATCACATAAACTGGACTGCCAAGGTTCCTAGCACTGGTGGCTAATTGTGAAGTTTTTTGAACCTCAGGCCTATTTACCATTCAGGGAGTTGGGAGAGGTGTTTTTGTTTTTGTTTTTACCAAACAGATCCAGCACCTCTGCTCTTGGTCATGTTTTTACACCTTAGTGGACAGCTTTCCATTTCCCTGAATAACAGGGAGACCTTATAGTGTAGAGAAAGAGCAGGGAACAGGATTGAGAGGGTCCCATAGCTACCAAGTTAAGGACAGGTTGGGTTCCTGTTTCCCTATTTGTGGCACAAGGCATCCTAGAGTTCACAGAAACAGGAGAAAAGTGTTGTATAATGGGAGTGTATCACTGGGGACCTTCCCCAAGTGTCTTTCTTGGGGACCTCCCCTTTTTCCTTCTGCGCATGTGCGCTAATCCGGGAACCCCCCCCCAGCACTTGTCTGAATTTGGCTCCTTCATGGCCACTCAGGGTGATGCTGCTATTCTGGTTTTTTTCTGGGTGATTTCACTACTTACCAGCCCTTTGACTGAACTTCCCGGTGCCAGTTTCTTTGTCCACAACCTGGGATCAATAGTATACCTGACACCACTTTGCCAACTGGTTGTTAAAGCTCCCAAATAGCCGAGATCTCTTAAAAACAAACTAGTTTCCTGTGCTGTTTTCCTAAACTGTGACAGAGGCCAGAGAGGGGAGGAGCAGGCAGAACCCTGCCTAGGGCCTTGCCCCTCCTGGGACCTGGGGTCTGATGGGGGGTCTCACTCACCCATTCACATTGTATGAGAACAGCAGGGTTCCCTGGCTACACACGGAGTCCTCTCAGTGTCACTAAACTGATGGCCCACAAATGACATTTTACATGTTGTTTTCTGCTGATAATGTAAGTGGACAAGTTTGATGATTGTGGAGGGAGGGTGCCTCTGAGATGGCAGCTTTGGCTCCTTTGTCTAACTTTCTTACTGTGGCTGCTAATGGTGTGAGGAGAGGCCTCCTGGGTTAAAAGAGGCTCTGCCTTGCCACCAGTGTATCTAGGAGCACATCTGCTATGTCTGGAATTGGTCAGGGCAGGCCACTGAGGTTGCAGAAGCAGAAATGGCCTGTCAATGAAAGCCGTATTCCAGAGAAAGCAAGATGCCACTACCCATACTGTTGCAAATTTATCTAAATTCCTGTCAGGCTTTCTGGGGTTTTGGAGATAGATGAACCCCAGGGTTAAATGAAAGCCTTTAACTTCCAGGAGAGGTAGAGATAATATATTATTCAAACTGATCTTAAAATCTCATTTCATCCATGAATTCTTTCTTAATTCACTGAATAAGTGGTTATAATGAGCTTATCTTCCTATTCATTGCCAAGAGTACCCCCAGCTTCCAATTCATTCTTTTGTCTGTGGGTACAGGAAATAGCCCTTATCAGATATTACATTTTTAAAATTGGTAACTGTGTACTTGTGAGTTAATCTAAGTTCCAGGGGGCAGAGGTTAGATGCCAAGCCCAGCACCTTGAAAAGACAGGGACTGCTGGAGATCAGGTGAGGAGGGTGGGCCCAACTAGAGCCTGGGAACTGGCTGTCATTTTAGTCTTGGCTGTCCCAGGGCCCTGGGAGTCTGCCGCAGGCCTTCCTGGCATCGGAGTGGTGTCTGTGTAACTCCCCCACATGAGGGAAGATAGGGCCCACATGTCTGGTGTTGTGCCAGTGTGTGGGCTGCAGCAGGACAGAGGTCGTCTGCAGAGCTGGCATCAGTCCCCAGGGATGCTGAGAGCTCTGGGAGCCTGGGCAGGGCAGGCATCCAGCCAGGTCCAGGTGGACAGACAGATCCTAAATGTTAGATGAGGTGGTGGGGAGAGCCACAGAAGACACACACAGTCTGAGGGCTCAGCCTTGACAGTCAAAGCAAAGCAACGAACGGTGAGGACAGCAGGGTCCAGTGCAGGATGCACTGGGCGATGAGAAAAGAGAACTGGTACCCTCCCGGGAAGCCCTGACACCAAGTGGGATCTGGGAGCTGCACTTTCCTCTGCTTCTCAAGCCTGAATCTCCTTACCTGTGAGGTGGGAGGCCTGCCCTTAAATTCTCTTTCAACCCTAAACTCTCAGGGCTTGAGAGTGTGTGAATCTTTGTTTCAGTCCTGGCAGAGGTCTTAGAACTCTGGAGACACCAATTACCTGTCACTAAAGGATGTTGCTCAGGAATTCTAACGTTTTTCAGCATTTTAAAACTAACAGAACCTATCTTTACTCACAAAAGAGTCACTTCAGATGACTGTTTATACTGCAGTTTGATAATGGAGTTTGGGAGAAAGGAACAATGAAAGAATGTTATTTGTGGTACAAAATATGAGGAACTGATCAAATGTACCAATCTCATTTTATATAGGCAGAAAACGAGGGCTGGAGAAGAGTAATTATTTGCATAGGACACCTAGCAAGTTAGGCAGAACAGGACTGGAGACTCCAGTTTCCTAATACCTGGGTTCTGAGCCTTTCTAGCTCTCACCTCCTCTTGTCTGCCTGGCATGTGTGCTAACATCCCTCGCAGAGGGATCCGGGCCTTTGAAATGTGTTCTAGCTTTCCTTTCTCTCCAAAGTAGAAGGGAGGTTTGAGCTAACAACTTTCCCTTGTAGCAGTTCCAGATATCAGTGACTTGGGATGTGAACTAAGCCAGTAGCTCTTAGAGAGATGATGCTGATTTCCCCTGCTCTGATTACACTGGGGATGGGGTATACTGGACTGAGCTGGGAAGCCCTGTGTTTCCTGTGGGGTGAGCATGATCTCTGAAGCCTGAAAGGAATCAGGAAAGTTACAGATTGGGCCTGCAGGAGCCCCAGCTATGACTCTAGTCAGCTACTGTGTGACCTTAGGCAAGTGACCTCTCTGGGCCTCAGTTTCTTCCTTTATAAAGGTGAGGAGGGCATGCTATATGTGTGCCAGAGCCTTTCAACCCTGTTCCATGTGCACTTGCCTTTCCCCTCATAGCTGCTCAAGTTTCTCATGGATTTAGTCCTACGATGGATATGTCAGTCCCAGAAACACTGGGTCTGTGTGTCCTATACATCGTGGGCACCCACATCTTCCTGAAGGACAGCTTCACTCATGACAACCCTGCTCAAACTCTGGTGCGTCAGTATGGCCCACAGAGAAAAAGCTGCCATTCGTGCCTGGCATTTGAACTTCCAAGACTTGGCCCATGTTACCTCTCCAGCTGTATCTCTTGCAATTGCTTGGAAGAGCAGGTGTTTGGAGACAGAGACCCAAGTGTCAATCCTAGCTGCACCTCTTCAGTTCTGTGATTTTAGTTTGAACCTAGTTCATCCCTTGGATTTAAGGATCAAGCAAAACGCCATTAAAATTGAATAGGTATTCAGTGAATGTTAGCTTGCTCTCTCTTTTTTTTCTCCAACTAAAACATATGTTTTTTGAGAACAGAAATTGTATGTACGCTTCTCATGCATCTTCAGTGTGCTTATCACAAAGGCTTCTACAGAGCATTGCTAAGTATTTGCTTGATGCTGTGTCTGTTCCAGAAGTTGTCTTAGATAAGATAAGGAATTTTTCTCTCTTGCAGTTTGCCCAGATGGTGGCCATCTACAAGACGCTGGGAGGAGAAAAGTTCCCACTCATCGAGCAGACATACTACCCCAACCACAAAGAGATGGTAGGTGGCAGAGTCTCTGCTACTTCCCCCTTGAGCTTCGCCGTGTGGTGACCATGGGGCTCTGCTCAGGGCTTTGGCTTCTCACTCCAGGGCTCCCCTGTGGGACCTTTGTAGGGCTGCAGTAGCTGGATTTTAGCTGCCAGCCTCATTTTCAAATTCTGGAGACAGAACAGAGTAGAACCAGTGGCAATCAGTCTAAGAGAGTAATAGCCTGTGGGCCAACAATCAGATCTCAGGATTGGGGTACAGCTCTGGCTCTGCCACATGTCACTGGGCAAGTTATAATAATCCTTCACTGAGTGCCAGTTTCCCAACTGGACAGCGGGCATAACCTTTGCTGACCAGAAATTCTAGTATGTACACACAAGATGGAAGTGTTAGTTTTAAGGAGCCGCCTTCTGCAAAGTGTGAAGCACTCCTGAGATCCACGGTGCTGTTCCAGGTGAACCCTAATCCTTTTCTCAGTCCACCTTAGAAGGTTGGGAGGAGCAGAGAGATAACATGGCTGGTTGCTAAGAAGGCTGTTGCTAATGCTTTTCCTCCAGGGCAACCTGGAGCTCAAACTTCTGCCATCCTTCCTTTCCCCTCTGCCCAAGGCTTAACCAACCAAGGTGCTTCTAGTGTGCTCTGACACAGAGCTTACTTGTTCCCCTTTTCACTCCCTTCTCCTAAGGCTGTCTCCACTCACAGCATTTCTGTGAGTCCACAGCTGCCTTCTGCACATTGTATATGGCCCTGCACCAGCAGACCACACAGAGGAAATGAGCACAACTTTTGCTTTGAGAACTGCCTCTGTCATCTTTGCCAGAGCTTCCCTGAGGAGGGGCTCTTGAATGTTAGGTGCTTGTCCTTAATAATTCCTAGAATATCAGGGCTTTCCCATTTAGGGCAACCCAGGAAGGCTTGTGGAGGCCAAGAAACACTGGGAGCCTATGGCAGAGACCTCAGGAAGTCCAGGTCACAGTGGTGAGGGGCCTGAGCTGAAGGTGGAGGGCTCTCTGGGCACCAGAGCTGGCTTTTCCTGCTGTAATGTCCAGCAGGGCTGACCCACTGGAAAACTGCATCAAACGCAAGCAGTCTTCCTCCGCCAGCACTCTTCTCCCTAGGAGTCCAGATATTTCTCTCCTGTCCTGAAATTTGCCCTCAGGAAAAGAGCATCTCTCTGAGGTGTCCAAAGCCAATGTAGAAGGGATTGCAGCTCTACTAGAGAAAGGCTTTTTTTTTTTGCTTAAAAAACATTGTGAAGTAGGAATGAAGACATTAGTAATACAAAGGTGACAGAAGAGAAGCCCTCTGGACATCAGTCGAGGGCATTTGGGACAGTTAACATGGAGGAAAATGTCTATTCTTACACAGGAGGCCTCCTCTTGTCCACAGAGTGCACTAACAGGACCAGACCTTCACCAGGAATGGTGCTGAGGGGGAGTGCAGCACCAGGAGGAAGGTTAGGGAATCCTAGCTTTCTGATGGAGTGATTCTGTGCCCTGAACAGATGAAAGTATACCAGAGGATTAGGACTGAAGAGAGGAGGAGCAGAGGATACACAGCTGTAGTAAATTATTCTTCATTCCTGCTAGTCAACCTGTTTATGATACCATCCACTCACCCTCTAGTTTGCACGCCACCAAGTCTCACCATCTCTGTGTATAACAGTCATGTCTTCTCCTCTCTCAGGTCAGTTACGGGAAAGGAAAACACATTTTCCTGGGGGAAAAGGGAATAGTTCTGGCTTTGGGAAACAAACTAAGCTAGAATCAAAACTTCCAGTAACAAGTATAAGCTAGATTAATGGGACTTGGGAGGAGGAGAGAAGGCCTGAGGGCAGGACAGAAAAGTCAGGCTGCCCTCCCCAGCCCTTACAGACTATGGGCTGGGGCCTGGGGCACAAGCTGTAACATGCCCCATCCCTGCCATGATGCTAGCTGGGCTGTCCACTTGGCTGGCAGCAACAGGGCAGGTGGTGGTAGTCAGAGCTCCACAAGGAAGGAGAACTGGCTTGGTCTTCAGGACTCCTGAAAACATGTGGCGGGTCACTAGTCCCTACTAGGGCTGGATAATGTCAACAAACTCCTTCCTGAGGGGCAGGTGGCCCCGGTACCAGCTGCAGGTGCCATCAACGTGCTTCATGCAGACGTAATGCTGGGCCTGGTACCCGTAGAGCTTCCGTTCCAACAGCCAGTCTGTCCACAGGCACTCATTGGGGGCCGAGATGGTACAGGGCACTATGTAGCAGGTGGTGATCTAGAATCATGGCCACATGCATAAAAGTGAGAAGATGTCTTTCCTTTTCCATTGCTGCCTTTTAGACTCCTACATATCCTCATGGCCCATCTCAGCTGCCCTGTCTTAGGAAGCCCTTTATCCCCAGACTTCCCCTGAATTCCTCCTCCCCATGCTCCCTGAGTACAGGATCACCCCTCTGATGTCATCTCTGAAATCAGCCCTAGTGGTTCCTATTCCACCACTGACCTTGAGCAAGTTACTTCACTTCCCAGAGCTTTAATTTCTTTACCTTGAAGTAGAAATCTTAATTCTTCACAAATTTGTTATAGAGACTAAGGTAAATTAAATAAACTCATTATTATAGGGCCTGGCAAAGAGTAGACATCTTTTAAGTGTGGCTGTATTAGTGCCATCTCAGTCTGCCCTATTTGGTGGCCACTTTCCCAGCCAAAATGTAAGTTCTTTGAAGTCAGGGATTGTGGACTTGTTTTTGTGTCCCTGACCTCATACAATGCATGATGCATGGCAGAGCTCAAGTATGGTAGAGTAAGTGCCTGAAGTGTCAGGCTGCAAGGCTCAAGCCCCTTCCTCCACCCCAGAGACCTTAGAAACGGATCCCCCTTACATGGCAGCCGCAGTTCAGATGGTAGTGATGATTCAGACTTTCCCTCTGTACTAAGGACAGGTCCTCCCAGGGCTCGATGTAGTTGCACAGATGGATGAAAACTTTCCCATCACCAAGGACCTGGCCTTCATGGGAAATGGAAGATAGTGTGGCATCAGGAGTCTGCTTCTGGAGCTCCCAGGCCCAAGTCCTAACAGAGGGCTGGGCACAGACTCCCCAGGGCCTGGCAGAGGGCTGGGCATGCAGGCGAGGTGCTTGGGAAAAGGTGGCTATCAGAGATTGCAAAGGTCTGGTGGCAACGGAGAGCTCAGTGTAGCCTGGCCTGTGCCTCTCCACCTTAGGTCAGCACAAGTGTACATCCTTGGAGTTGGGGAGTCCATCCCTCCTCACGAGCCATGCCTAGTCTGTGACTGCTGAGAACTGTGACTTGTTCCTGAACATCCCCTCTCCTGCCCAAGGCCTGGTAGTGTATAGTAGGCAGTTATTCATTGTTGAATGGATGGATGGATAGTGGAATCCTTTCACACACACCCCCCCGCCCCGCTATGCTCTTTCTTTTCTTTTCTTTCCTTATAAATACTCTTCATCTATTCAGGCCAGTTTAGACCCCACTTCCAGTGAAGCTTCCATGATTATTCACATTTACATAAACCCCTCCGTTCCCTGAGCTCCAAAATAATTTACTGTTGAGTTCATTCATTACGTATTCATTCATTCATTACATATGGAGGAGGTTTACCTAGGCCCTCATCATGGGGGAAAGAACTGTGTTAGACCCAAGGCTCCTGCTGGGCCCTTGGCAGAGGGCAGAGATGAACCCATAAGGACCAGTTTCAAGGGGCAGTTTTTGGCTCAAGATGCCAAAAATCTTGTACCAATTAAAACTGTTTCAACTGGAACTTGTTGCCCTGGGTGGGGAGAGCAACCTGCCCTTAACATAGTGAAATGGAGGCCATGACCACTACTATGAGGACTCTGCATCAAAAAGGTCACCAAGGGTCCTCCTGACACTGTCACTACTCTGTCTCTATGGAGGCTGGTTGCAGGTTTCTAACTTACCAGTCAAAAGATACTGCCTCTGGCTGTTGGCTTCTAGTTTCACACCGCAAAGAGAAGAGTCAAAAGGTGTGTAGATGTACTGAACATCCTTGACTTTCTCAAACCCTTTAAACATCTGAAAGTCAATTACAAAAAGCAGTGAGTATAATTTGTATATTAACAGGGAAAAACTCATTTCTCATTCTAAAAATATTAAGCAAAAGTCTAGTTCAGGAGTTAATGCACACAGATGATTACTGGTTTGTTTCTGTCTTAAAAATAAAAGTAAAAATCTAAAGCTTGGTTTATTCCTGTCAGAGGGGAGGTACTCCAGTGGCCCACATGCAGGCAGCTGTGGGACTAGTGGGACCCTGAGGCCCCACCGTACACTGTCGCCTGGATTCATGGGCCCTGTCCCCAGTATCTCACCCCTTCCACTGCAGCCTCTCCACACCAGGGAGCCAGACTGCCTGCAACTGGCCAGGCAGTCCTGCCCCTCCTGAGCACATGCTCCATCCCCTCCAGGGGCTGATGTGGGGAAACACCCTGTCCTGTCCCCATGTACCTTTATCTGTTTGATTTCATACCGGATCATTTTTTGAGTGTCAGCAGGGTCTGCACTGGCAGGAACTACCTTCTCATTGGAGACTTTGGCCCGGATCACTGTGGAGGAAAAGAAGGGACCTTCAGCCCTTGTGGGTGCAGTCCACCTGCGAGCCACATGCTCTGGGGTCCCTGGAGAATGTTGCCGGGCTCTCAGTTTAGGTGTCACTGGGGTGTGAACAGTGCGCCGTGTCTGTGGGGGGCACCTGGAGACACCTCCTCCATAGTGCCCAAGGTCCTCTCCTCTGTGTTCATCTGGCCCCTTGAACCTCCTCACTCGGAGCGCACTGGTTCTCCACAGCACCTAGGCAGTGGCAGAGTAGGAGTCCGGGGGTGGAGGGAGGAGCCTCAACTGAAGGCACTGGCCTGGGTTCTTCTGTTCACTGCCCGAGGCCTCAGAGCTCACGCAGAGTGGATGTTAATAATGTTTATTGCACTCAAGCACACCTAACCCTGCACCGAGGATGCCCATCTCTTGCCTTGTGCCTTGTGTCATCTATCAGAAATTGCTTATGAAGGCCTGACACTAGGCACGAGGCCACAGATGTCTGTAACACCAGGTTTTGGGCCTGCAGAACTCTTGGTCTAGTGAAGACACACGTGCGAAGGACACTAGCACAGTGTAGTGGGAGCAGAGATGTCAGAGATGCCAGGGTTCAGAGAAGAGCGCCCTTGAAGGATGAGTTTAGGGGCCTGGGAAAAGGGCTTGCAAGTGAGGAGAAAGAAAGGGCAAAAGTTATGTGTTAGGGCACAGTGGCACCTCAGTGCCAGGGCTGGACAGAGAGCTTTATGACCAATCCTTCTCTTCCTCCACTCCATCCCAGTCCAATAGTAATGACTGGACAGCCAGTGACACGTGTTGGATGCTGTGCCCCAGCTGCGGTAGGACCTGGGGGAAGGGTCGCTACAGAGGCCCCTGACAGTCTCACTTTCTTACAACCGGACTGCTATGACACCCCCACATCAGCCTGCCCAGGAGGCAGTGGGTATGGGATTTGAGCTCCTCCCTCCTCCACAGACTCCTAGCCTGCAGCTGATCCTACTCCACCCCCCATCCCCCCCCCCCCCCCCCCCCTTCCTTGGACCTCCAGGCCTCCGACTCACCCAGCGCAGAGCGGCAAACGTGCAGCTGGGGGTGAGCAGGGGCGCAGCTGCACGCCTCGCCCAGCCCCGGGGGCCGCAGCAGCGCCAGCAGCCGCAGCACTAGCACCCAGCTTTGCGTGGCCGGAGGGTTCCGGCGCATGACGCCTCCGCAGAGCCCTACTAGGGCTTGTGGGGTCTGTGGGACCGAACCGCCCCTCCAGGGCTCCTCCAGACCTCGCAGCTCCCCTGGCCAGGATTTATGAGGTGGCCCCTGCGGCCAGTCCCGCCCCATGCGCTCCGCCTTCCTTTGGCTTGTGGCCACCGGCCCGGGGCCGGCAGCTGCAGGTCCCAAGGACCTAGACCACAGACCCTGTCAGCCCAGGGTCTGAAGTGGAGGGAAGGCTCTGGGAGAAGGAATGGTATCGGTATGGGAGAGAAAGACTGAAAGAGCAACAAAGCCAAATGTGAGAGGGCAGAAAGGCCAAGGGTCCTTGCTTCAGGCAGCAGAAGCAAGTGAGGGGAGGCACGGTCAGAGAGTGAGACAGGCAGAGTCAGAGAGAGGCAGACAGAATTACAACAGGCAAAAGAGACAGTGACAGAGAAGGACGGACCCCTTGCTGCGCTGCATACTGGGAATGAGACAAGCTACTCAGGGCTTCTTTCAGCTGCAGGAAGTGTTTTCAATGCCCTATTTATGAGGCTCCAGAGCAACAGCAAACAGTAAGGGAATGGGACAGAGAAAGTTGGGGTGTGTGTGTGTCTTGGCTCTGTCGGCTGGGGGGTGGGGAGAGATGTCAAAGAAAGCAGCCAGTGCTTTAGAAACCCTTTCTCATAGCCAGGCTTTAGACTTTCCGATAGCTGGGGCAGTGCTCTTGGAACACGGGTGTCCCATCAGCTAGGGCAAACTTCAGGCCTCACAGCCCTGTGTCCAGGCCCTGGGCCACAGTGATTCTCCCTCCATGATGTTCCCACTAGAGACTGTCATGATACAGAGGTGGGGCAGCTAAAGAAACCAGCAAGGCACTGAGGGTCACTGTGACCCAAGCTATATCCAATGTTGACAGGATAGCACTCCAGGGCTAGACTAGAAAGTAGGAAGCTGGGTTCCACTTCAGGCTACACCCCAACCCCGAAGTACATAATCTCTAAACCCCTTTGAAACTCCTTTTCCCCAACTTCCACTGGGCTCAGCCAGGAATGCTGACATCCTCAGCTCAGACACTCCCAGTGCCTGGTCACACCCAGGTTCCAAGAGAATCTGACTTTTCATCAGCATTATTTCCTTCAGAGGGCAGCTTTTCACTTAGTTGGTGCTAGTGATGTTTGAAAAGAAGGAAGTTGAAAGATAGCTGAGTCAGGCTGAAAACGGATAGGTCCAAGTCTGTGTCCAGGTTGGCCCTTTGTACAGTGTCCACCCCAAGATAGACTTGCGTTACTTGCAGGTGCCTAGAAAAGCATCTAGTCCAATCTCATCACTTGACAGATATGAAAGCTGAAGCTCAGTGATGTAAAAGGACCTGCAGAAGTGAGTGGCAGAGAGGACGAGAATACAAGTCTGGAGCCTACTCTAGTGCTCTTCCTACTGCACTGTGTTCCTTCTTCTACCTGCATTTTGTTACAGCTCGAGAGCCTGTCTTTGGAGGGCAGTTCTATTAAGTTTTTATTGTTCCTCTGTCAAAACAGGGCTACCTCAAGGTGGAGTTTGCTTTTCTTGGGAATCTCTTTCCAAGGATTAACGTGTTGAATTCTTACATCAGGTCTCTTCTAGACCTCAGGTAGGATGGAAGTAGGCTTTGCATACCAAGCTGTGTTTGGTTGTGAGTTTGTGGTACTGCTGAGCAGGAATGATATCAGAGAGGAAAAGGACAGAATGTCAGTGCAAGAAAGTTGGGTGTTGAAGGGGACAGGTACTAAGAGGTGCAGGGAACGAGGGACATTAAGAGGCCAAAGGTGCACTCAAGGGCTTGGGTGTGGCCCAGTGGTAGAGCATTTGCCTAGCATGTATAAGGTGCTATATTCCATTCCCAACACTGAAAAAAAAAATTAAAAAAAACCCTTCAGGTTTATTAAGATACAATTTACATACAGTTAGATTTAGCCTTTCAAAGGTACATTGAAAAAAAAAAATCTCTTTAACTGACAGCCACTCCTGCTCAGGGTTTGTCTAATGCAGAGCATGTTAAAACAATGAGACATAGAAAGTACCAAATAGGAGAACAGAATTCTTATCACCCTGCCTCTAACATTCTACATTTGCTTGCGTTTGGGAACGTCACTGGCATTCTATGGACTCACTCTTTTAATTTGTAAAGCAGGAAGGTTGTTTGAAGGGGCCTCTGAAAAGTGTTCCCAAGGAAAGCATTTGTAGGATTCTATAGAGACAGGCACGTGCTGACCAGTCTGTCCTTCTCTCCTCTGCTCCCAGCTGACACTGCCCACATTCCCTGTGGTGGTGAAGATTGGCCACGCTCACTCAGGCATGGGCAAGGTAAGACAGGGGGGCCTTCGATACCCCAGGCTTCTTTCAGAACACCCATCTGTGGAGTGCTCGTCTTCCTCTGTGGCTGAATTCTTTCTAAGGAGATGATCTAGGCCCTTTGAAGCCACGAGTGCTTCCCAGCCTCTTTCAAGCAGAGAATAGGTCACCTGATTGGTTCCTTGGGTCCTTTCAGGAAGTGTGACCCCTGAGCCCTGGGGAGGGAAGCTAGAGAGCAGGGGCTTCCAGAGATGTGACACCCATGTTTGTGCCTGGATTGGAAACATTGTGATGGGTTTGGAGCTCCAGGCCCTTGTGACTTCTCAGCGTGTATATGTATATACCCCCCTTTCTCCCCCTCTACCTTTTTTTTTTTTTTGAATTTGATACAAACATAACTTTATTAAAGCAAAGAAATGAACATAAATTTAAAGGATTCCACCTCCATTATCTCTCCTAATTTATATCTTCATTGAGAAACTGTGCAAGGCTAAGTTTATTTTTTACTAGTGCTGCTGTTTTGGCTTGTCTTGGTAATCTCATCTTCATTTCTGATTCTGGTTCTGGAATCTCATGGTCACTTTCAGAGTCAGGCTCCGTAGTCTGACGTCTCCTGTTTGTCCTAGATGACACCATCACTTTTCTCCATCCTCTGTTAGTCTTTTGCTGAATGGATTTTGATCCCTGGGTTGCTTTTACATCTCTAAGAGGAGTCATATATACTTTTTTATTATTTTCATCTTCATTTTGAAAAACAGTTGTAGTTGTGCTGCATCCTGTGCTGCTATGGACTGGTCACCAACTTCTTTATTTCCTTTTTCTAACTGAATCTTGACTTTTTCCAAAGCTCTCAGACATGCCTTACTCCAACCTTAGGTCAAAGTGGAAAACCACTATGACTTCCAGGACATCGCTAGTGTGGTAGCTCTCACCCAGACCTATGCTACAGCAGAGCCCTTCATTGATGCCAAGTATGACATCCGAGTCCAGAAGATTGGCAACAACTACAAGGCTTACATGTGAGTATAGGTGGGGGTCCTAGCAGATGCTCCTCATTTCTCCTCAACAGCCAACCCTCAGGGTAACCTCATCTGGCCCCCAAAGCAGGTAACAGAGAAAGGGATTCGTAACCCAGGTCCTTTTTAAATCAAGGAGAGGATTCTATGAACTAAGATGAGAAGTAAAATTAATATTTATTTTCACTAGCCTAAGTAAGATTTAGCTTTCTCTTCAGTTATGAACAGAAGCTACAGGCTGCAGGAGTAGCAGTATATAGGATTTTGTCTCTACAGATAATCACAGATATTCTTGTGTTACACTACAGCTGTGACAGATATCTCTACCAGTTACTCTCATCATTATTTTAAAATCATGGTCATCATTAGCCCTGGCACTGTATCCCATTATTTAGAGAAACATAAATGGACTAGTCACAGATTTATTTGTTAAGTGGTTTTTTGTGTTTTTTTTGGTACCAGGGATTAAACTTGGGTCCTTATGCTTTCGAGACAGGTGGTGGAACCACTGAGCTAAATCCCCGGTACTGTTAAGTGCTTTAGATAACTCTAATTGGGTACCTTTGTGAGACTGTGTACTTTATTTTATACATTTATACATCTTATACATTGAAAGAAACCCTTATGGTTTATCAGAGTGCCAAAGAAAACAATTTAACTTGTAAATATATAGCCCTCAAAAGGCTACAGAACATTAAATCCTAGTGGTCATAAGAATATATGGGGTCCATTTAGCAGAATGGAAAGTTAAACTATTTCCTCCTTAGAAACACAAAAGATTTCAACACTCCCTTACCTTCCATAATATACACAAGAATGCAAGTGGCTTATACTTCCAAGTTTGGAAATACTAACTTCCCACTTTAGAGAACATTTAACATGATAGTTTCATTACAAAGAAGGAATGCTATTAATATGAATTTGATCTTTGCCGTTCGGGACTTCAGGAGACATCAGGGTGGAGGCTTGCCGCCCCTTCCCGGTTGTCTGCCTTTTCATGCCTTCATCCTTCTCTTCCCCCAGCCCTGGAGTCTGTTAGAGGCTGTTTCCTTGCAGTTCTCCCCATACCTTGGTCACAGGTGTTTTGTCTCGTGCTCCTCCCACAGCTCCTCGAGGGCGAGCAGGATGGAGCCTGCACCTTGCATAGCAGCAGGCACACGGGAAGCACCATGAACACTCAGGAAAGAGCCCTTGTGGAGAACTGAGGCACAGAGCTGCTTCTGTTTGGTTTGGTGCTGAAGATTGAACCCAGGACCTAACACCAACTAAGTACACACTCTACCACTCTACCGCTGTGCTACACTCCCAACATAGTGGGATTTTTTTCACATTTATTGACTAGATTCCTACTTTTTAAAAGTCTGTAATTTTATGTTTATAGTCTTCTCACTTCAAAAAAGGATTTTAGGGTTGCTTAAGAAATAGGCACAATATAAGATAGAACAGCTTAAAGACCTTTCTAAAAACTAGCCAAAAGAAGTAGAAAAATGGATATTTTCAGATATCTAGGAAAGCAGATATTCTGTCTTTTAGGATGTAGCTCAGTAGTAGAGCTCTTGCCTAGTTTGCATGAAGCCTTGGGTTCCAACTGTATTACCACTAACGTAAATGAATGAATAAATAAATAATATTTATTCATGACAACAGTGGAACAAGAATATTTTGATCCTTAAAAAGAGACACTACATTTTTAAGGCATAGGGTTTCTAAAAACAATTTAAAACGAAGCACAAGAGAAGTCCCAAATGTTGACAGAAAATGGCCAACTGGAGAAGCTTTGGAGGACATTGACTTGTTTTTATTTGCAAGGGACCAGCAGGGATTTGAAGGAATATTTAGACCCTCACAGTTTCTCCCCATCTCACCTCTCCCCAAGCTTGTGGCCATCTCTGCTCTCAGAAGAAAGAATTGACTTGGCAGAGCTCAGATGAGGGGACTCAGAGAACTTTGTAGGCTTTACGGTGCTACTCAAATGGAAGAGACATTATTATTATTATTTACATTAGTTTCTGAGTCTCTGTTAGGTTTTATACCTCGGTGCTGGGGACAAGGAAGTGAGTGACTTGAGAATGGTCATTAGGACATACTGTATTTGTAAACCACTGATGTTAGGAAAACAGTTATTTTTATTGTGGCTTTTGACTCTATGTTTCTACTCAGGCTTTGCAAACCATTCAGCTGTTTATTTGTTTGGGTATAGGGAAAGCTCATCATACCAAGGGAACCAAGATTCCTGGATTTGTTTCCATATCTGCTTTGACTAGGTACACAGTGTTGGACAAGTCACCCAGACTTTCTGGGTCTTCGTCTGCTTGTCAGTAAAGCAGACCAGAGTTCTAGCCTCTCACAGCAGGGGTTTGACAGGAGTCTCCTTTGAGGGATGGATGAGGAGGCACCTTGGAGGCCTCAGCACCATCCAGTGTGAGACCTGTTGTCCCCCATAATGGGCTCACAGGGCTGCCTCAGGGCTCAGGAAAATTGGGTGGATATGTATAGCTTCTCGGTGTCTGGAGTCAGCTCTCTGGGAGGACTCTCTTGGGAACTAGCACAGTCTCTCCAAACATTGTCCAAACAGTGCTGGTGATAACAAGTGCTGGCTCTGTTCCCTAGGCCATCCCTTTGTCCTTGACTGTGTCTAGGTGAAGACTAAGAATTTAAGAGATATATTCTTAGTGGTTTATAGTTTATTTAAACCTGTACCAATTGGTCCCTGAGTACCAATCTGCAACTCTGAGTTTACAGATAAGAGCAGCTCGGTGAGATGAAATGACTCTCCCACTGTCAGCCACACAGTCAAGAGAAAATCCAGAACCAGAAAGTTGGTTATCTGCCTCCTATTGAGCCCAAACTAATTGACATAGCTCATGGTCATGTCTGAAGGGTGCAGTGAGCACAGCAGAGGCTGGTGGCTGGATGCTGTCAGCTCTGTTTGATGGATGGGGCAGCCAGAGAGGATTACTGACTTCCAGATCACACTGCTGATCTTGTAGTGGCCCTCAGAAGTGGCCTGTTGGATGACTGGGTGAGTGTGCCAGTAAGGAAGCCCATAGCCACAGGACACTGCCAGAGTTCTCAGAATGAGTGGGGCTCGGTTTACACATACTGAGTGGGCCCAGATGTTGAGCAAGTAAGTAGGCTGCTAGGGATATAAGACACAATGTATACCCCAGGTGTTTTCCATAGCTGTGGACAGTCTTAGCTGAAGACTCAGCTCCAATAACTAAAGCAAAAAGTAGAAGTAACGTTGTCACCAAGGCATAGGTGAAGTCCTGAGTGGAGCAAGAGCACATCTGGTTGAAGATTAGTACAAGCTCCACAGAGTGAGACCCTCCTGAGCTAGGCCCTTGTAGAGAGAGGAGGGCTTCCCAGGTGGGGGTCGGCAGAAGCAGTGGGCTCGAAGCTCAACAGACAGCTGCCAACAGACAGCTCTCCTATTGGTGCGAGAGGCAGTGAGCTGAATTCTGGAAGGCTGCATCTCTCTTCTTGCTGGTGTGGTTCATGGCCTATCCTATCCCCGATGGACCTTGTTGTAGGAGGACATCAATCTCAGGGAACTGGAAGACGAACACTGGCTCTGCGATGCTGGAGCAGATTGCCATGTCAGACAGGTGAGTGGGGGGAGTCCGAGCCCCAGTGAGTAGGCAGCTGCCATGAGGAAGAAGCAAGAAATGAGCCTACCCAAGGCAGCATCTGCACAGATAGGACACAGAAGACTCAAAGGCCCAACAGCCAGTGAACCAGACTGGGCAGGACCCGGTTACATGCTCAGCTATGGAGATAATGACTGTGCCTACCACAGAAGCACTGAGAAAGGAGTAGTAGTTAGTATGGGCTGGGATAGTTAAGGAAGGTCTTCTGGAGGAGGAGAGACTTTTTTGGGGCTTGGAAAGATGGGTAGGATCAGGAAAGCAGAAAGGGAAGGCATTGTAAATAAGGGACCATGCTTGATGGGGTTGAGGGGCAGGGCTGGGGGATGGGAGAAGTGGAGGCAACAGGAGAGCCTGATCAACAAACTAAGGCCCTCACCACAGGACCCCTTTCCATCCCCACCAGGTACAAGCTGTGGGTGGACACCTGCTCTGAGATGTTTGGTGGCCTTGATATCTGTGCTGTCAAAGCTGTACATGGCAAAGATGGGAAAGACTACATTTTTGAGGTAAGTCTGGCCCACAGAGTATCTCAATAAGAAATAGCTCTCAGGGCTTCACCCCACACTTTTGGCTAGAAAACTATGTGGGCAGCCCAGACAGCATTTCATTTAGAGTCTCCTGAGTTATGGGAAGGTCCCAGATGGCAGATCAGCATAGCAAGATCCCTCTACCAGTGGGAAGAGATGCTATTGTTTCAGCCTCCTCAACTAACCCAGGCCATGGGTAATTGATGCCAGATCCGGGTTCCTGGGGTCTTAACACTATGCATTCCTCTTTGAATCTGTTGGGACTTTCACATTCTTAGCCTTAGAGAGCTGCCTTCAGATTAGTTGGTCCTGCCTGCCCATTTACAAGTGAAAGAATGGAGACCTAATGCCATGAGCATGTGCTTATGGCCATAGGAAGAATGGGTGTCTCAACCTGGGCACCTGGATGCCGAAGGTTCTTCTCAGCATCTCTCAGAGCCTTGGAGACAGTTTGCTAAGCCTGATTCTCACAGACTTTGCTGAAATCTCACAGCTGTATAAATTCTTCACACACACTCCTGTCCAGTCTTCCTTGCCAGGAGTTGGTGGTGCTTCCAGAGTACTAGTATGAGGAGCCCAAAGTGGGTTTAGGTTTGGAATCTGCCCTGTGGCCTGCTTAGCACATAACCTTCTGGTTGGCCACACCTCCCCACTCCAAGGGGGCCTCAGGTTTCTCCTTCATAAATGAGAGTCTGAGCCTTAAGGCAGTCATTTCCTAATGGAGGAAATTATTGATCTGGACCACAAGACAGAGGGAGAAAAAGGATTAGTGACAAACAGGGAAGGCCACCCAGGTCAGAAACAAGGGTAAGAGTCTAGTCATTCAATGAGCAGAATGTATTGGGGAGACAGAGATGGTGCCAGTTTAAGTCACAGGGATGAAAACTGCCTGCTGTTCATCAGAAACTTTAGGGACTGCCCTTCATGTCTTCCTGCTCCTCTCTGTGCTACTTTGAGCTTGGCTGTACCCTCTCCTTGCTGTATGCACTTCCCACTAACTTTAGCCAGCAGTCTCCATCTCACGGAGCTCTGGCCTGGGTGGAGGTAAAGGGAAGGGGCCTGAGGCCAAGGTTTATAGGAGGAGACAACAGGCCAATTTTTGCTGAGGAAATTGCGTCCAGGTGAAGACAGGGACACCTGCTTCATCACCTGTCTGTCTTTGCTGGCTTATGATGCACCCAATTGGAAAGACCATGCCAGGCCTTTTATGTTTCCAGACCCTTTCCTTACCTGGGCCACATCTTCTACCAGGTCATGGACTGTAGCATGCCGCTGATCGGGGAACACCAAGCAGAGGACAGACAGCTCATCACCGAGCTGGTCATCAGCAAGATGAACCAGTTGCTGTCCAGGACTCCAGTCCTGTCTCCTCAGAGACCCTTGACCACCCAGCAGCCACAGGTAAGCAGCTGCAGAGAGATGCCAAAGAGCCAGGAACTGCTGCTGTAGGTGCTGAGGCTCTAGAACGTGTAGAGGTCAGATGCTGACAGGCCTGGATGGCATCTAAGGAGCCTCTCCTTCTTCCTTCTTTCCCACTATCCCTCTGGAGACCAGGTTATCTCCCAGGGACTCTGCATTTTCAAACTGGGAGGCCTCTGAGGAAGGCCTGGGTCAGAGTGCTCACTAGCTGTTCACAGCACATGTGTAAAGAAAGGAAGATCTTTCTGAGAAATCTGCTCATCTGTGAAAGTGGGAGTTAGGTCCCTCATTTTGTGAGAGAGTTACAAGGCAAAACTCAAATGAAAAAAATCTGCTTTTCTTCCTAAGGGAAAGGAGATGTCCTTCTTCGGTTGACATGACTCATCCTGGTGACTGCATGCCAGCTGCAGGTCAGCTGGGAAAGCCACACTGAAGGTTTTGTGGGCCATGAGGCCCTGTGGCTCTAGCATGGGCCTGAGGAAGGGGGAGAGAGATTAGACCAGGTGTCCCATGAAGGAGGCATCTCAAGTTTCAAAAATATCCCCAAGCTTTTCTCTCCACTGGACTTTTGTATAATGAACTAGTAAGAATTTGGAATAATGAATCAAAGAACTGAGTCCTAGACTAGCTTTTTCTCTAAACAGCTGTATAACTGGAGGTGGGGAGGATGAACCCATTTTGGAATTCAGGTTTTATCATTTGTAAATCAGAATTCTCTCAGAAATCTTTCCTTCAAAAGCCAACTTCAAATAGGGAGGTAGAATAGAATAATGATTCAGAATGTTGGCTTTGAAATGAAAACTAGCCAATTTGAGTTCCAAACCCTGCATGTATTAGCTTTGTGCCAGTGGTCAAGGTCCTTAACTATGCCTCAGGAAAGCTAACCACAGCCCCTATTTCATAGGATTGTTATGGGAAATAAAGAATCTAAAGTGCGGCATAGAACAAAATAAGAGACCCAGTAAAGGTTAACTGTTATTGTTATGTAACTAAGCAGAAGGTGGGCTTGGATCCCTGCAACCCTACATTTGGAGATTATCACTCCCCTGTTGGAAGATAAGTGCTTTAACATGATTATACTGCACCCAGAGATTATACTGACTCAGAAGCAAAGTAGTTGGGTTCTAGAAATTCTCCAATAAGAAAGAAGAAAAGGCTGACAGTTCTATACTGAATGGGGGAGAAGAAATAATAGAAAATAGTCTGGACTACTTAGGATAGAAGCAAATAACATGAGACTTTAGGCAGTCACAGAATCATAGCGTAGAAGTATTGTTGATGTTCATAATAATGAACCTGAATCATCAAGACAGGGAGTACTGGTATTTTAGTCCATATTCTATATCCTATTTTTAAAAACTTAGAAACATAAAGCTTAAGACATATTCCCTTTCAAAATTGACTAAAATAAAATGTGTGACAATTTGTAAGTTACTTCCCTCTCCGGATCTCAGTTTCCCCACTTTTCATATGAGACAACATCTAAATATCTCATGTGCTCTGACAATGTCTTTGAGTGGAATACAATACATTCATCCTCACTGATGCTGGGGAAGTGGAACTTCTGCCTCTTTCTGGGTACCCAAGTTGAGAGTGACCTTGTGCAGCAGAATGTCATCATATGTTATTAGCCCTTGTGAGTGTTGCACACCTTTAGCTGACTTACACTCTTCTGTCCTCTGACCAAATGTAGGAATGTGTCCCTGGTGTTGGACTTTGTGGGGTATATCTCAGTTGTATTACTTGTACTTGTACTTTCAATGCACAATGCCCTGGGTTCAGTCTTTACCACCAGGGAGTGGGGAAGGGGGAAGTGGAAAAGAAGAGATTTTTATTGTTTAAAAAATCAGGCCTGTGGTTATATTTCATAATTTGGTAAAGTGACAAAAAAGAAATATTTGAATATAGTTCTGTCTTTTAGCCCACAGTATGCCTCAGTGGATAAAGAAGTAACCTGTTAACCAGATTATGACTTGTCCATTCTGTAGAGGATGAGTGACAGATCACTGCTCGTCCCTGCCCTAGAGGAAGAGCAACGTATAGAGTTGGCCTTCCACATCTGCAAGTTCCTCATGGCAGATTCAAGCAACTTCCTATGGAAAATGTAGTCAGGCCTATGGTGGTTGTATCAGAAGCATAAAACTTCCCAGAAAGCATGAAAGTTCCATAGCGAAGAGATAACTCACCCCACAGAAAGCTCTTCTGTGGTATAAACCCCTAAAACAGCTCATTACTAAAATGAATACCTGAGGTAGGCTAGCTACTACTTTATAAAGAAAAGCTCACAGTTCTGGAGGTGAGTTCTCAAGGTTGAGGGGCAGCATGGTGATGGCCTTGCTAGGAGAGTCTCAGGGTGGTGCAGAGCATCATGGAGCAGGAGAAAGGGAGTGTGTATGTATCCCTATGCCCTCTGATCTATGTTTATGTAGCCGCCAGAATTCAGCCCTGGGTCTTCACCCTGATGGCCTGAGCCCATCCTAATGGCCATCTCTTAAAGTCCCCCACCTCAAAACTCCATAGTCTGAGTAAGTTTCCACCCTCTGAACACCTCATTATGGGGGTAAAATTTTACACATGAACTCTGGGGGAACTCACTCTAAACATATCCAAACCATAGTAGCCATTATTTTACATACAGTAAACATTAAAGTTTAAGCATTTTAAAGAGAAATACATAATCTGTCAGAGTTCAGGCAACAAATATAGTAAAGAATAAGCTTCCCTAACTATTTCAGCTTCTGCAGAGTTTGCTTGCAGTGAAGTCAGTGTGACTCCAGAGTAAATGTTCTCTGCTCAACTTCACATTCAAAAACTATGACAGAGTATCATAGAAAGCCTACCTGGCATACACAAGGGCTAGTCTCTCGTCTGCCATAATGTTTCGTGACCTTGGATAAGCTACTTCCTGTCTCCAGACCTATGTTCCCTCAC